TTTGGTTCGATCGCGAAGTCTTTTATGAGACTAGAGTAAGGGTGCGATGGCACGCCTTGGTGCGGGTTTCCACAATGTCAGCCGCCTGCACACTTCCGCGTCTCCAGTCTTTTTGACTCTGCACCACACACTTAGTACCCGTCGGCTAGATGAATACACCAGAAGCCCATTAACACAAGTTTTAATCTACCGCAGAAACAATTGTTAGAAATGGTTTGCAGGTAACTGTTTTTATGTAAAACCCACTCGTCTGATAGGAAGAGAGCCCACCAGATTAAAAAGTTCACATCAGAGAATATTAATATATAGAATGTCATTGTCGACAAAGACAAAGGAGACTTGAATGGCCATTTCTGGCTTATCAGCCGCCGTCAGCCAGTCATAACCAATCCCGAAGTGTGGAACACCTGGGGCTCGATCTCGAGATCTCTAACAACTGAGCTGTGCATCCGTTGTCCTGTCGGTTTTTTACCGGGAATGTACAATGTTAGAGGAGCGCTGCTGCCCTAAGCCACAAGAAGATGAGTGAGTTCCGTAAGAACAATAGGTAAGCGTCCCTCTACCACATTAATAAATGTTTTGGCAGACTCTTAATGATTATTCTGACCCAACTGTAAAATGTCATCAATTCTATGGCGCCAAGTTTATCACAGTTGAGTTAGAATAAATATATATACATATTATGAATACACGGATTAATTGTAAGTCTTAATATCACTTGATGGCATTCAGGACATAAACCAGGATGAATATGAGACTAATCAATCGATTTGTACTGTACACATTGATATGGTAGAAAACCAGGGCGCCCACTAACTTTTCTAACCCTTACTCCTGTTGGAGAGTTGGCTGTCCCCAACTGTTGCCGGCAAAAGTGTAATTGGCAGAGTGCCAAGATTAGGCCAATTTAACTTCAAGTGTCGTGCAACTTTCTCCAAGTTGACGGTTCATTAAAGGTTTGCACGATGCTGCGGCGCGCACGTATCCTGACGTGTGGTGTATGGGTCTGTCGCAGTCCTCACTGGTGTTACATCTAAAAGCACGTGCCAAGGACAACAAATATACCTAGATTTAAGAATACGTTGAGTTGGCTACTCCCTTCTCCGCCGTTTTATTGGCACGCAGTTAATTCACTAAAATATTAGCTCAAGTACCCTACCTCTATCACCTTTGGGAAAAATTAAGAAAAAGTGGCCTTCGTTTCTGTGACTGCCCGGCTAAATTTCCTCACTTTCTTACATAATAACTGGAATTATTCAACAAAACTTTAATTTTCTCAAAAAGGCACTGCTCTCGCAGTTTCAGTTTGAATTGCCTTGCAGACTTCGGCTGACATAAAAATAACAACTAAGGTAGAAAATAGTCCAAGAAGGATTGTAATAACAGTAGCCCTGTATAAGTCCAACTGCAAATTCTAAAACTGAAAGCGATTTAAAGACAAGCTTCTAACATTTTGGCGTGGCGAACGCACATCAGCACAGAAAACAATAGCCAAAGTACGGCTTGGAATGTTTATAAATGACTTTCTAACAGAAGCCATAATGCAAAAACTGGAACCTACAGCCCTTTCTCAAATAAACCCAAAACTATGTCTGCGCTACGTTGATGCCATATTTGTCATTGTCAAAAGAGACCCATTAGACGGACTTTACACGCATCTCAACTCCATATTTGCAGGAATCAAGTTCACTTTCGAAACAGATGTTGATGGAAAACTCCCAATTTTGGATGCCCTCGTATGCCTGAAATTTGATGGATCCGTTCACATGTCTGTTTATAGCAAAGAAACCAATTTAGAGGACATCCTACATTTTGAGAGTAATCATCCTGTCTCTCACAAGAGGTGTACCGTCTGCAGCCTGATAAACCGAGCAAAAGAACACTACTCTTATGAAGAAACTTACCAAGCAGAAATGGAATGCCTCTTCAAATTATTTTCCCACAAAGGGTACCTGCGAGACCTTGTACGTCACTGTATGAAGCATGAGTTTAAATAGAAAGGTATTTCGAAAACTATGGCCATCCAGGCATCAAAAAAATTCACCTGGTGGAGTCTCCTATACGTGAATAATGCATCTGAACTCGTCGAAAGACTGCTAAAAAAACATCAGATACAAGTAGCACACCAATCTGCAAACACCCTGCGTGCACAGCTTGTACACGCTAAGGACAAGGTTGGTTATCTCGATAGAAAAGGTGCTGTCTATAAGACCACCTGTGCCAGTTGTTATGCCCTCCGTTGTGGCCAGACTGGGAAATCAGGCTCAACCCGCATGCATGAGCAGCAGTAGGCGATGCGAAGACGAGATCATATATCTCAGGTGGTTATGCACACACTGGACACTGGGCATAATTTTGCATGGGAGAACACTAACATGATTGACGCCTGCCCAATAAGGAAAGGCCAAAAATTCCTGAAAGCGATGCACTCAAATGAATCATGCATAAATTGGCGTATCTATTTGGATGTCACATAAAAATTTCTCAAGGTCAAATAGAGGCGAGCGCAGCCAATGCCGCGGGGGTGACGAAAGACCATTGGCACGCACTAGCGCAGGCTTCGGTCAAACACAGAATCACCTGTTTGACACACTTAAATAGTTAACTGGCTTGTGCATAACCAAAAGTCTGATGACTTGGTGTGGAGCCAGTTTCGAAAATTTGCACAATAAAAGTTATTTCGTTCACGAAGAGTCTTACATATTTCCTATACATTTATATATCAACATGAGTGAAGATTCGAGGTCAGATAGATTATCCCGTTCATCATCCCCAAAAGAAGACGAAGAAGAAAAAGAGGCGATGCCATGGACCACACTGTATTGGTGCTGACGTTTCGGAATCTTTCTGGATTCCATCATCAGAGTAGTGATAGTGTGTTTGTTCCTGCTAGCTCAGAGTTGTTCTGTCTCGCCGCCTGTCTCGTGTTATAGGCATGCCTGATACACGAACTCTGACTTGCTTGCTGGCGGGCGATTGGCTTAGGTCTCTCCGTGGCCGTCCGCTGGGGCGCTGGTGTGACCTCTGCCCCCTGCCCGGCCGCTGTTGTCGCTGCTAGGTCCGTGTGCCCTTGGGCCCCCTCCCCATAATTTGACGGGCCGATCGGCTGCTGTTGCATGTGGGAATCGTGGTCGGCTGTTTGGGCGCGTCGGTGGGTCGATGTCTCGCGTCGGTCGTCTGACATCCGGCTGGCTCTCTCCCTCTGCTGGAAAGGTGACAACTGTTGAGAGGGCCGCGATTTGTTCGCCCGTGTTGTCGGCCCCGTCCGAACTGACTGGAGCCTCGTAAGAAGCGCCTGGTAGGTCGGATGAAGATCAATGGCTCTGTTGATTGTGTCAACTGAGGACCAACTTTCGAGAACCAGTCTGGCCATCTTGTCGCTGGCTCGGCCGATGACGCTTGCCTCCCCAAAGGCGAAACTGTGCTTCTCCTGTTGTATGTGGCCATATACCAGTGACAGCTTATCCTCGCGGTTGACTGCAAGCTGGTGCTTGTGCAATCTTGTGCAGAGGCGTTTGCCCGTTTCACCAACATACCTTGTACTGCAATCTTGGCAAGGTATGCTGTAGACCACTGCTGATTGTTTCGTTGCAGGTAGCTGGTCTTTGGGCCTCATTATCTGGTGCCTGATGGTGGATTCCGGTTAATGGGCCACCCCAATCCCAAAAGGGCTCAGGATTCTTGCTGTCGCCTCAGAAACGTTCCTCATGTAGGGGATTGCGAGCCAGAACTTCGGCTTCTCATCGTTAAATCGTTCGCGGTTAAATCCTCTTCGGCACTCACGTATGAATGATCGTGGGTAACCATTGGCTGTGAATAGGGAATGTAGGTACTTCATTTCCTCCCTCCTCCCGTCGTTGTCATTACAGTGTGTTTGAACTCGTTGGAAAAGAGCTCTGACACAACTGCGTTTGTGACCGATGGGGTGGTTACTCCGGAATTGGATGATGCGTCTAGTATTCGTTGCCTTTCGGTATACCGTAGTTCTGATCCCCCATTAGTCATCCTTGTGATGTTTACGTCAAGGAAGGGCAACTGGTTGTTGTCCTCCTCCTCCATTTTGAATTGGATGTCGGGGAATATTGAGTTCAACAAGACTTTGAAGTCCTGAACGACGTTCCTTTTGATTACGACAAATGTGTCGTCGACGTATCTGGCCCAGAATTTTGGGGAGTACGAACGGAAGACCAGTCGCTCGAGCCTCTGTAGAACAGCCTCGGCAATCAGTCCAGACAGCGGGGAGCCCATCAGTGTTCCCTTCTTTTGTTCGTAAACCTGGTTGTTGAAGTAAAGAAAGTTCTGAGGCACAATTCCAGGAGTTCGATGGCGTGAGTTCGTTTAAGCCGTTGATCAGTTTCATCGTACTTCTCCTGAAGAAGCTCGTTAATGGTGCTGATGGCAAGGTCGGTTGGGATGGAGGTTAATAAGGAGACCACATCAAACGATACCATCATCTCGTCTGGCTCTATTTCTAGATGTCTGATACTCCTCAAAAACTGCTCAGCCGATTTCACCGTCCATTCGGAATCCCCGGTCAGGAAACGCAATCGTTGGTAAAGCCATTTCGACAGTCCAAAGGTCGGGGTGCCGCGTAATGAGACTATGGGGCGTAGAGGTACTCCCGGTTTATTCACTTTTGGCAGACCGTAGAAGCGCGCCATGGCGGCATCGGTGGCTTTTGAGGCCAGTGCATCCTGCCTCTTAAGGGCTCCTGCCTTCCCTAACTTGTCTATCGCCTTGTTTACACTGTTCACGTGCTTCTTGAACTCTCCAGTCTCCAAAAGCTTATAGGCAACTTCGTCCTCCAACAGACCTTCCAGTTTCGCCGTGTACTCGGTCTTGTCCATGACAACCGTCGAGCGTCCCTTGTCGGCGGGCAGGGTGACGATATCCCTCATCTTCCGCATTCTCAGAAGTTCTCGGCCTTCTGCTTCGGAAATCACCCTTTCAGGTTTGTGCTGGAGGAGAAGAGTTGACACTTGTTGCCGCATGGAATTTTTTTACTCCTCGTTGGCTTCACACTTCTGAAGGGCCGACTCGAAGTATGCGATGAAATCTTCCGGCCGAGCATCTTTTGTGTTGAACTTAGCGTCATACGATAAAACCTCCAGCTGCTGCTGTGTGAGGCGACGAGACGAGAGGTTGTGAACCAGGACACCGTCAGTAAAGGGCTCCATTTGTGGACGTTTTCTTTCGAACTTCTCTAGCAATTGATTGACGCGGTGGCAACGTGCATTGCTGAGTATTGTCGATTCCAGCATTTGCAGATCGTGTGCGGTGACTATCGACCGGCATGCGGAAATATGCTGTTCTATCGCTCGTCGGTAATTACGGATGCGCGAGTGGCAGTCTTGTATCAAGACTCGGATCATCCTCTTCTTGAAATCTGCCATTTTCCGCCGACAGAGGTCGGTCATCACTGGCAGGCTATATCGGAGACATTATGGCAAGGTATGTTGGTGAAACGGGCAAACGCCTCTGCACAAGATTGCACAAGCACCAGCTTGCAGTCAACCGCGAGGATAAGCTGTCACTGGTATATGGCCACATACAACAGGAGAAGCACAGTTTCGCCTTTGGGGAGGCAAGCGTCATCGGCCGAGCCAGCGACAAGATGGCCAGACTGGTTCTCGAAAGTTGGTCCTCAGTTGACACAATCAACAGAGCCATTGATCTTCATCCGACCTACCAGGCGCTTCTTACGAGGCTCCAGTCAGTTCGGACGGGGCCGACAACACGGGCGAACAAATCGCGGCCCTCTCAACAGTTGTCACCTTTCCAGCAGAGGGAGAGAGCCAGCCGGATGTCAGACGACCGACGCGAGACATCGACCCACCGACGCGCCCAAACAGCCGACCACGATTCCCACATGCAACAGCAGCCGATCGGCCCGTCAAATTATGGGGAGGGGGCCCAAGGGCACACGGACCTAGCAGCGACAACAGCGGCCGGGCAGGGGGCAGAGGTCACACCAGCGCCCCAGCGGACGGCCACGGAGAGACCTAAGCCAATCGCCCGCCAGCAAGCAAGTCAGAGTTCGTGTATCAGGCATGCCTATAACACGAGACAGGCGGCGAGACAGAACAACTCTGAGCTAGCAGGAACAAACACACTATCACTACTCTGATGATGGAATCCAGAAAGATTCCGAAACGTCAGCACCAATACAGTGTGGTCCATGGCATCGCCTCTTTTTCTTCTTCGTCTTCTTTTGGGGATGATGAACGGGATAACATATATATATATATATATATATATATATATATATATATATACAGTAGATGTGCTAACTCATGAAATGTCAACCAAAATTTCGAAATGCGTTCTCGTTTCGAAAAGATAAATTAAGGAGTGTTGTAAAATTAATAATGATGCACCATAAATCTATAATGATCCAGTTACCTCAGGGTGTCGGCTTTTGAAAGAGCTTATCTTCGGCTGCATGCAAGATCTATACTCTGCAAAAAATGACTACTTAAGTAGTATGCAATTTTCTCATTGATTTTCGATGCCCTTGAAAATTCAATTATATTTCATAGAAAACATGCATAAAAATATTCATTCTTTTACTTATTTGGTAGAAAATCACGTCTTCTTCCAATTTCATACTCAGAAGAAGAGTATAATTCGGTTTTAAAAAAAGTTTCTAATTGTGAGATTTTTTAATACCGTTAAATGGCCGTTCATGAAGCGCAATGTATCTGCATTTACGAATGTGGCCTGTAAAGTTAACAATATTGCATGCATTTCTCTACGGTGTTAAGAGGAGACCATATGAGGTTCATAAAATTAAGCAGTGGATTTGAGCAATATTGTTAACTTTACAAGCCACGTTCGTAAATGCTGATACATGACGTTTCATGAACGGCCATTTAACGGTATTAAAAAATCTCACAATTAGAAACTTTTTTAAAACCGAATTATACTCTTCTTCAGAGTATGAAATTGGAAGAAGACGTGATTTTCTACCGAATAAGTAAAAGAATGTATATTTTTATGCATATTTTCCATGAAATATAATTGAATTTTCAAGGGCATCGAAAATCAATGAGAAAATTGCATACTACTTAAGTAGTCATTTTTTGCAGAGTATAGATCTTGCATGCAGCCGCAAATAAGTTCCTTCGAAAGCCGACACCCTGAGGTAACTGGATCATTATAGATTTATGCTGCATCATGATTAGTTTTACAACACTCCTTAATTTATCTTTTCGAAACGAGAACGCATTTCGAAATTTTGGTTGACATTTCATGAGTTAGCACATCTACTGTACATATATATGATTGTGGGCGCTCACCGATCGAGTTACGGAACACGCTCGTTCCGTTGTGCCTTGGGGCTCCTATTAGAAGCCTCGCAGGCAGTCGCACAGCGACTAGTAGTAGATATAGATGAGATGGTACCGACAAAGATAAGGGAGACCGGAATGGCCATTTCTGGCTTATTAGCCGTCACCAGCCAACCCCATCTCATCTATATCTACTACTATTCGAACACAAACTAGCTAGCTATCCGTCGGCGAGACCCCTGTCCCTCGTCTTCGCCCATGCACTCGAGTACGACCACCGATTCAATTGGGATGGCACTGAGGTCGTTGCCATGGCTAACACAAAGCGAGCGAGGGAATTTCTGGGGCTTGGCACTCCAATGCGGCTAGTATCCACCGCCACGTTGACTTAGATGCCCATTACGAGGGTCTACGTTCACGAATGAATGCCCCCAGCCCTAATTCACGCATCAACGACCGCGAATACAGCCGCCCGCATTCCAACTGATTCACCACCCACCCTCCACCTCCAGCACGGTGTGCCGTAATAGTTCCGCCTCCTCTCCCTTCCCCACCCATCACTCAGGGACCTACCATTACCTCGGGAGCCCCCCCCCCTCGCACGTCAGTAGTTTGTTCTGTCCTATTACACTAACTGGTCTACTGTGGCAACATAACTTTCTCCCTCGTTTTCATTTCGTCTGACGACGGGTTGGTGTTACCAGCTCGAAAATTCACGAGTACAACTCGACTTTTCCGAAGAACCTCTTCTATATTTTCATTATATCAACTCGGAATGCATACCCTCTCTGAGCTACATATATATATATATCAAAAGGGTGGTATCGGAGAGTGAGAGGAGATGGGTACAGATAAGCCTCGGGCTTATTCAGCTTTCATCCTGCTTATAATAGCCCTGACCACCATGTGTGGCCCAAACGCAAGCACGGACACGCACCCAACGTAGGTGGTCAACAGACGGTTTATGTTCCGTGGACCGTTGGCATTTAGTCGAACTGAGATGAAGCCCTATCTAGACAGCCGGAGCAAGCTGTCCTTGCCTTCGGGTGCAATATGATTAACGTACGACTTCAGGCAGCCTTTTAGGGGCAATAAAATTCTTTTTGCGAATAAAAGAGACGTCAGAGCATCCTATCTCTGGTTTAGAGTATCCTATTTTTAAAAATTTCCTTTTAATATCCTTGTTGATGGTCAATTTTTCATCTATCATTTATTCGATTACCAGGTATACCTAAACTAGTTTCTCAGGGATAAGTTGCTGTTCGATCAACGACCAAAAATAGTTTAATAGAAATATGTTAGAGCTAGTCGTCCTTCCTAAATAAGGAACAGGAATTTGAACGGATGAAAAACATAAGTTAAATCTGCTTTGAACATTGACAGAGTTTACATTAAAGGGATTGTTATTGTTTAGTGTCCCACCTGGAGAGGACGCTTTTTAAGGTAATTAGGACTGTTAAATTTATCGATGGGAACATATAAATCGGGGTGCAAATACCCTACTTAAAGAAGCTGGCATAATTAAAAATGGATAGTCTGACTTCAATATCATGTACGACGCATTGTTTCCAGCCGTCTCTTCCAAAAAATCAACTGTGATTGCGAAAGTGCTGATAAGTGGATTACTTATAAGTATTTTACCAATAATATCAGCCCGTTGCTCATTTGAACAAGTTAAACCTAACCTAAAATTATCTTAGTGAAATAAACCGGTTGCTAAGGTGACGAGTCAACAAACTGTTTTGCTTTCATGGTGATAATCACAATTATCAGGCACGAAAACACACGTTTAAGGACAACTTGCTAATCATTGCTGATATAGTCCTGTAAAGAGACAAAGAGTATAATAATAGGACAGGTTAGACTATTTTAAGCAAAAAAATAAAGGATAAAGTTTCTGTCGTATAAAACAAGTGCATAATAGATTTGCGTAATCTAGCTGCACTTTGAGGAGAAGCTGGTTTATGCAGAATAATATTACCGACAGTGTTACATAAAATCCGAGATGGCAATATACTGGGAGCATCTTTAGCATACAAAAACGAACTTTCACACAAAGGCGAAGCTCTGCACAGCTTACATAGAACGTTTCATATTCCACTGTCTGCACGAGTCCAACTTTGACGGATTTCAATACTTTTTAGTAAAATGAACGACAAAGAGATGCTTTTTAGACATCCTATACGCATTTTTTACTCAAAAGAGAACTTGATGAGCATACGCTTGCCTTCGGTAGAAAGATTCTCACCTTTGCGCCTGAGGACCAACCACATAGTGCTTAAAAGTTTTGAAAGCTGTACTCGTTGATTTTTAATCAAAGGATGTGCAGCCAAAGTAAATTACACTAAATAATCAGAAAACATGGGAAGAAGTTTAACTATTTCCTCAAACTAGAAAACCTAACTGGTTAGATCTACAAAACTGATAAATAAAAAGGGATTTTAGCTTTATGTACCGTAAAAAACGGATGGGCGATGAAGAACACTTCCGATAAAATTAGCGTCTTGAGATCCTGCCGCAATGATATAAATTCTGTGGAAATTTTAATGTTGATACTCAATGTGTGTATTAAGTCCTTTGTGTAACCTAGGGGGGATGTACCCTTTATTTAGGTATTTGTGAAATTGTTACACTAAATCGCGAACACTGGCCAATCTCATTAAATTTTAATCAAAATGCGTTTTTAACTAGGAAGGATTACTTAAGTAGGCTTTCAGTATTGATTATCACAACGCATAATCCAAAGATATTTTAGTCCGTTTTCTTGTCCCCCTTCAAAAACTGCGTTTGATAAAAAACAGTTGGTTAAATTGTTGGCTTTTTCTATAGTTCCATTGATACCGAAATGTTTTACAGAAACCACTTGCAAATATATTCTTTTCTGAATCTATTTGGTAGGAAATTAAAAATTCTTCAAATGTTCTGTCCGATAGATGTACCAATCTCGGGGCTCTTATGAAGTTGATCCTCTAAAGTCTAAAAAAGGAAAATATGAGAGAGAAATTTACATTTTTTCTGCGCAGCTCGGTATCGAAATTTTTGTTCAGGAAAGTCATGGTCACTATGACAGTTTGACCGTCATTACCGAACTGCCCAACAGCTGGGCAGGCGAAAGGATTGTGACTTGTGTGCAGATGAGCTTGTAATGATAGAAGACTTGCGCTGCATCCATCGCAGCCTCTCCCCCCCAGATGTCAAGACAGAGTCGCAAAGACCGGAGGCGTGGTAGGGCGTAGGTGGCTGGCATGGCTGGGCCCGTACATAGGCATACCACCACACTCCCTTGTCCACAACATACACCTGACCAGGATTTTTCTCCAACAACACCCCAACAGGGGTCAGAAGGATGAGGATGAAGACTAGGCAGTCAGGCCCACCATCTGTATGTCCAGCGGGAACGCAGGCGCATCTACCGACGGGAAACCAGGTGTCAGGGAACTGCCAGCACATACTGGACTGCGAGGGCCATTGTTTGCTGAATTATGGCATAGCACACACTTCCAGATCGTTTGACCGGTCTGCACATACCACATATCATTCGCCCCCCCACAGCACCCCAGGATAGGCGGCTCGGCCTGGTTATTCTCTTGACAGAACAGTATTCTGACCCGGTTTATATCCACCCTTATTTCACTGTCCGTTGTCCTCGATTCTGTTCGTAGGAAGGGTGGAATTTCTCGTAAATTTCCAGATGAAAATTGGGTTCATTTGATCGAGAGGAGGCGCCTTCCAACTTACTACAGCAACTTTTCCCATTGAAGCTTACCTTTCTGTTTGCGTCGTTTATCTTTTTTAATTCAGGAAAAGGATCTTGAAAGTGCCGACCACTGCCTGACCG